TGTTTCTCTAAGTTTGAGTGTTTTAGATTTTACATGTAAGTGATATCATGCAGTATTTGTCTTTCTGTGTCTGGTGTATTTTGCTTAACATAATGCCCTCTGAGTTCATCCGCATTGTCACAAATGTAAGGAATGTCTTCTTTTTTAAGGCCAAATAATACTCTGCTCTGTGTGTGTGTGTGTGTGTATGTGTATCTATACCATAATTTTTTATACATTCATCCATTGTTTGACATTTAGGTTGTTTCCGTATCTTAGCTACTGTGAGCAATGCTGCAGTGAATATAGCAGTGCAGATATCTCTTTGACATGCTGATTTCATTTCCTTTGGATATATACCCAAAAGTGGGATTGCTGGGTCATATGGTAGTTCTATTTTTAATTTTTGAAGAGCCTCTATATTGTTTTCCCTAATGGCTGTAACAATTTACATACCCATCAGTAGTAAGGGTTGTCTTTTCTCCACATCCTTTCCACCACTTCTTATTTTGGTCTTTTTGATAATAGCTGTCCTAACAGGTGTGAGGTGGTATCTCATTGTGGTTTTAATTTGCATTTCTCTGATGATTAGTGATGTTGAGCACCTTTTCATGTACCTGTTGGACATTTGTATGTTATCTTTGGAAAAATGTCTATCCTATGCCCATTTTAAAATCAGATTTTTTTTTTTTTTACTGTTGAGTTGTATGAGTTCCTTGTAGATTTTAGATATTAACCTCTTATCAGATAAATGTTTTGTATCTATATTCTTACCTTAAATTGGACTCAGATTTATACTTACTAAATTTCTTATATTCTTTGCTTTATGTCATTTAAAAGTGAGAATTAGGATAGAGTTATTGACAAAAATAGTATTTCTTTTTTTTTTTTTTTTGTCTTTTGTCTTTTTCTGTGTCCGGCCACGGATCGCAACCCTCAGTGTTGCCCCCGTACCGGACCGGGGACCGGCAACGGGATCGCAACCCTCGGTGTTGCTCCCGCGCCTCGCTCAGCCAGTGAGCGGGAACCGGTCTGTATGTGGGATCCGAACCCTCGGGCGGGAGCGCCGCCGCGCTTCCCAAGCGGCGCACTATCCAGTGCGCCACCGGGCCGGCCCGACAAAAATAGTATTTCTAATGTCGTTCTAAACATCAAACCATCATCATGGCATGTAAAAATGCATGAACCACCTACTCATTTTTTTCACATATAAATAACACCTTATCTATTTAGTGTTTTTACTAATAATTTCTCCTTAATCTTATAGATTTTCTAAAAAGATCTGTGTGCTGTTATCAAAAACTTAGTGAATGTGACTGCACTTTCAGTTGCAGTAATATGTAGTGAAAAAAAATTTTTTTTAATCAGCTTAAGACAGTGGAGTCTCCAGAAAAATGACTTTGAACTTACTGCTGTTCTAAGTCTTGTAACTCTTATTTTAAGAACAGTAACTTTAAGTATGCAAATTCTATTACTTTTGAGTCACTGCTGTCTGTTAACATCTATCAACTGTAGTTTGAATTTTACTTTAGCAACTAATTTGATTTGCTTATAATTTTGGTGTTTCCCGTGTTTTTTTGAGCATAGTGAAAATTTAAATATTTTGCCCACCGTTAACTGGGCACCATGATAAACTACGGTGGCTTATACAAGTTATAAATCAAAATCAATTTATACTTTCTAATGGGAAAATTACACTGGTTTTAATAGACAATATGTATAAATGAGTGACAGAATACCATAAGGATGGCAGGTGCATATATGGGGGAATTGTGAGATGATCAAGTGGGAGGCAGATAAACCCTCTTGAAGAAAATATGAATTCAGTTATGTTTTGAAGGAAAGAGATTTGCTGTACTAGATGGTAGTATCAACTCTAAAGAGATAGTTTAGGGAGTTCCATTGGTTCACTTGAGTTTGGAACGGTTATAGAACTGCTCTTGAGGGTATTAAGAACAAAAATGGATGATTCCTTAACTCATTTCATTGTACGTACTTGGTTTTTACAAAATAGTTGCAAAGTAATAATATCATAAATTACTGCAAAATGATTAAAAATGGAACTCTATGTCTTTTTAAATGAATGAATGTACTATTTATTCTTTCCTAGATAATTGTCACTAGTTTTACACATCAATTTTTGCACATCAGTTTTCAGCGTCAGCAACCTTTCAGAGAGGCTGCAGATTCTTTAATGTTAATGAAAACGTTAAATTGAAGTTATCTGTAATTAGTTTGAGTTGAATAAGCCTACAGCCAAAACTCAAATCCTTCCTAAAAACCTCAGTGGAGGGGATAGTAAACTTTAAAACTCCATAAGAAAGTATTTAAGGAGAATTTTGTTGAGTGAAAAACTAGAGGTCTTCTAAAAAGCTGTAGGGTAGTAGGTTTTTGTATATTTACAGTCTCTGTATCTTAAGGCTAGTAGAATAATTATATAGTAAATTGAGTTTCAGAGTATACAAGGATATGGCAAGGACTCTAAGAATTTGTAATAGATGCCTTTGGTGCCCCACATAACATACCATCTTCAGCTGTGGTAGACAGACACTGAATTCAGAGTCACCAACCCTGATGAAGTCCCACTTTAAATGTGTGCTGCTTTCTTTTCTGTGTTCTGCCATTCTCCAGCAGCGCCGGAGCCTACCAAGGATGTCCCCTTATTCAGTGCTTAAGTGCGGACTACAAGTGCAGGTTATTCACAATCCTGAGTTAATGGGGATAGGAACTGGTAGAAAAATGCTCCAGCTTCTCATCCTTTAGGTGCGTAATTCCTGAAGCCTTCTGTGTGCTTCTCAGTTGCCTGCAGCAGCAGCCTCAGTAATGCACCTTTGTACTAGCTTTTTTCTTGTCTTTCTTCACACTTCCTCACTCTTGTTTCCTAGGGTTCTCTCCCAGGTAAACTACATGTAAAGGTCTTTGTCTTAAGTTGTACCTTCTTTAGAATCTAAACCAAGAAGTCTTACAGAAAGAGTCTGTGTTAAACATAGCTTTTCCCAAATATATTTTATCATAGAACTTTTGTTTGGATGATTCCTTTTAACAGCATATGTAATACATTTATGTATTTGTTTATAATATTACATTATATATAGGACAGTGAAACTTATGGGTTCAAAAAAGGTCCTTATAGAGTTGAAGATATCGATCTCAACAAAAGATAAAGGTCTTTTAAAATTATACTATACTTTAATGAACTGTATAGTGTGAAACCTGGTGGGTAAAGTCAAGAATAGTGTATGAGCCACCATAGGTTTATAAAATACCGTTAATCAAAATACTGCTTTGAAAACTTCTTGTAGTTCTATGAAGAGGCTTGATAAATAATTGCATCTGAAAGATATAGCTAAAACTGAGGAATTTTTTTATTTGAGAATTTAGAAAAATTTTGTTTGCCTGCTTATTTTTAGTGGACACTTATTGCCAATCTGCTATATAACAAAGAGCCCCCTCACTACACAAATATTAATGATTAATGAAAATATTGGTATATAAGTACCTAACCCCCCAAATTAAACTTTTCATCCCTTTCAGGTTTAAAATCAGTATTCAGGTCAAGACTGAGACTGATATATAGTCATGTTAACTGATCCCTGTACTGGCCAGCTACCAAAAAAGTAAAAAAAAACAAGCTGAACAATGTATGTGTGAGGGTGTGTTTGTACCCTTATTCCTCTTTCTTAACTTGGTCAAACTAGAGGGCTAATAGTTTGGTTTTCAACTTACTACTTAGACTGTGACCCTAATTTAATCAATAAATGGAATTAATTGGACAATTTTTGAATTTGAATAGGTAAATGTTGATTGTTACATTTGAACTATTATAGTTATTTTCTGTTAAAAAAAACTCTTAAATGCTAGAATTCAATTGTCTTACTTGGAGCAAGAATTTTAGTAGTATTATTATTATCTCCTAATTTGGCTGTTCTATTTATATTTTTAATTTATTCTGTCACCAAATAGTTGCCTGCATTTCAGCATGGAGCAAGAGTACCTAATTCTTATGTCTAAGGACATTGAATGAAGCTACCCTGATAATTTTTTATTCTTTTACCCTTACACAATTGTGTTACTGTTGTTTATTTGGACATAACACTCTCCTGTCTGTCTGTATCAGTCCTCACAGTGATGTTATAGATTTCATATGAAATGTGATGATGTTTAATTTTCATAAAAAAGGTGGTAGCTGGTCAGATAATGTAGTCAGCTTAAAGTTTTTATTCAGAACATTTTATAAAGGCTCAACACTTGGGAGAAGTTTCTAAGGTAATTTCTTTCATGCCAACATTTTTGCCCTAGGGTTGTAATTTTCTGAAGTACAGTATGCCTAGAGTAAGTACAAGTGTGTAAATAAAAATATTTACTTGCTTGCTAAATATGTAGAGATCCAAGAAAATAATAGGCAAGAAGCAGGCATAAGTGTTTTTACTCTGCTCCTGCAAGGTCATATTGCCCAATGGTAGCAGGAAAATTATTGCTTGAATGCCCAGCCATAATTGTCCCCATCAGCATGTCTTTGGTTTATGAACTGATAATTCATATATGGCTACTTATATTTTACCAGTTTTTTAAGCTTCACAAATCTATCTGTTTAAAATGATAAAATTTATTTGACTATCATTATAATTAAAATAATGCATCTGTTTGCACAAAGGAGTCTTTAAAATATATTTAAAGCTTCATGAAGTTTTACTTCATGATTTTGCTTATACAGATTGAATATCCCTTACTCAAAATTCTTCGGAGCAGAAATGTTTCAGATTTTGGATTTTTTTTTTTTTTTTAATTTTGGAATAGTTGCAGACTGCTGACCAGTTGAGCATTCCTAATCCGAAATCCAAAATTGAAACTTTTTGAACACTGACATGATGCTAAAAGGAAGTGCTCATTGGAGCATTTCAGATTAGGAATAGTCAGCCTGTACTCATCTTTAAATAATTCTAGATTATACTGAAACTTTCAAGAGCCTGACATGTTTTAAAGTCAAGGTAACTTAATTCATTTTTTTTCCTTGTTTTTAGTGGGCGACTTTGATAAGATCTGGCGAGAACACTGTGAGGATGAGGAAACGCTTTGTGAATATGCTGTTGCAATGAAAAATTTGGCAGATAATCATTGGGCAAAAACTTGTGAGGGTGAAGGTCGTATTGAATGGTGTTGTAGGTGAGTGTTTTTATGAACTAACATTTTTGGTTTCTAATATATTGTTTAAACTCTTAAATCTAAATAATGCTAAATAATGGTATAATTCATTGTACCAAAATGGAAACCCAGAAATATTATGACAGATTGATGTCTTTTAAACAACTTCTTTCTCCTTGCTTTACTTTCTCTAGGTTTATTTTCATTCATCTTTTTTTTTTTTTTTTTTTCCGTGTCCGGCAACGGATCGCAACCCTCAGTGTAGCCCCCGTACCGGACCGGGACCGGCAACGGGATCGCAACCCTCGGTGTTGCCCCCGCGCCTCGCTCAGCCAGTGAGCGGGAACCGGTCTGTATGTGGGATCCGAACCCTCGGCGGGAGCGCAGCCGCACTTCCCAAGTGGTGCACTAGCGCAGTGCGCCACCGGGCCGGCCCATCATTCATCTTTTTTAATCAAAATGTTTTTCTTTGACAAAACTTTTAATTTTCTGTTTTAACTTTTAAAAAATATGGCTTCAAATACTTTCAATACATTTAAACATTAATATATTTAAAATATAAAAGTTTAACAATTTACTCATAGTAAGTTATAGTATCAAAGTTTCCTTAGATGATTATCTACATTTGGATTCAAGTAAAAGTGAGTACTTTTCTATAATTTAAAATTTAAAAGCATTTAAAAAGATTTAAAATCCTGAATTTTTGATGTGTAATTCAGAGTATTTCAGCATTTATATTGACTTTGGATAATATTTACTTTCTCATAATATAGATTCTAACGTTAAAAACATTAGAAAATGAAATACTGTTGATATCAGTTCTCTAAATGTGGTAAAATTATAAGAAAGGATATGTATATTAACTTAATTTAAAAATGAATTCTCAGACAACAAAGCATTATCCTTCTGCATGAAAATAAATTTATGATAACTTCGAGTTTATATTTCCTTTTAATTATTTTCTTCAAAATTTGTTTTAATCTCACTTTAAAATCACGTAATAATGCATATTCCATTCATTCAACACATAATCCACAAAAAATATGTATTTTAACTTTGTTCTTTTATTTATCCATTTGATAAATAATATTTGTTGATTGTCTACTCTGTACCAGTCACATTTTAGGCATTGGGAGTACAAAATCAACCAAACACACAAAATGCTTGCTGTAGTGGAGTTTACATGCTAGTGAGAGTAAGAGGCAAGAAACAATATATTAATTAAATGTATTCTAGGTCAGATAATGGATAAGTACATGAGAAAAATAAAGCAAGGAAAAATAAAACAATTTTAAGTAAGATAGAGAAGGTCGCACTGAAGTCATATGCACAAAAGACATAAAGGAAGTGAGAAAGCATGCCAGCCCTAACAAGTCCAAAGGCCTTGAGGCAGTAGCATACTGGCATGTTTCAGAAACAGCAAAACCAGTGTGGCTAGAGCAGAATGTGAGAAGGAGAGTGGTAGAAAACAAGATAATGAACAGCTAGATTTTGTAGGATCTTGTGGACCATTGCAAAGACATTGGCTTTTATTCTAAAATAGGAAGTAATTAAATGTTTAGACAAAAGTAGTGACAGGATTTTATTAACTTTTTACAATGTATCGAGAATTCTTGAGAATTAATTCCTGTGTTAAGAATATAGGAAGGGCAAGGGTGTAAATAAGGAAAAGAGTTAAGAGACTACTGCAGTAATCAAGGCACAAGGTTAGAGTTAAGCAGTTTTCTTGGAAAGTGAGATAGTGAGTGGACAGGAAGTGTAGTAGGATTAATGCACAAATAAGTTTACTAACTCAATAAAGGGGCAAGGGAGATGATGGTGTATATACGTTGTGGTGATTGTGATGATTTGTACAAAGAAGCTGAAAATAAGAGGTGGGTGAGAGCAGTGAAAAGGTGATAACATAAGTGGATTGTGGAGTCGAAGGACTGTGCAGTTGGAAGACCAAAGGAAGGAGCCAGAATAATAGGAAATAGGATGCTTGGAATTTAATATATGGTTTTATTTCCTTGGTTCTAGAGAGAAAATGTTATAAATCTGGACTGTTCTACAAGATATGCATCAGAATATGTTTTTTCCCCTCAAGCTAAGAAACACAAAATGAGGTGTACTACAGAACCAAATATTTCCCTTGTAACAGAAAGAAATGCCGTAATCCGGTCAGAAAATCAACAGTTATCGTTTAAGACCATCATTCTTGGCTTTTAGCAGTACTGCTTTCAAAATAATATTCCAGTACATCAGGCAAGCCCTTAAACTTTATTTCTTAATAGACTTCGATATGTGGTGTTCTCAAAGGAACATTTGCTTGTACCTTGTACTTGAATAATGAATCTGCCTCACACTTCACTTTTTCTTTTTCCTTGATTTTGTATTTTATCAACAGTTATTGTGCTTACATGTGCGCTCTGAAAGAGGTCATTTTTGAGTGAAACTGCTGGAAAAAACATTAAGAATTTAGGTCAGACAACTGAAAAAGAGCAATGGCAAGATATGGTAAAAAAATTTTTCATTATGGGAAGTAATCTTAAGAAAAACATATAAACACATTATTTCCTGGACTAATTTGAAAGTAAATTGCCAATAACATAACATTCCATCCCCAAATCTATCAGCACACATCTCCTATGACTAAGGAAATTCTTCTACATAATTGCGACACCATCATCACATTAAGATAATTAACAGTAATTTCCTAAAATATCTAGTTCATAAATTCAGATTTTTCTTAAGTTCAAAATGTGCAGTATTTTATAATTTATCATTTTCTTTCTTTCTTTTTTTTTAAAGATGACCAGTAAGGGGATCTTAACCCTTGACGTGGTGTTGTCAGCACCACGCTCTCCCAAGTGAGCTAACTGGCCATCCCTATATTGGGATCCGAACCTGTGGCCTTGGTGTTATCAGCACCACACTCTCCCAAGTGAGCAACGGGCCGGCCCTGAGTTTATCATTTTCTAAATTCAGTCCAGGCTCATATATTGCATTTGTTGGTTACGTCTCTTTAGGTTCTTGTTTTTTTTTCCCATAATATTGAGTTTTGGGAAAATGTCAGTTGATTGGTAGAATATACCATATTCTGTATTTTGTGATTATTGATTCACGATGATTAATAGCATTGTTCAAATATTCTGTATATCTTCATTGTTTTTTCTTTTTCGGCTTTTCATTTTACTGATTGCTAAGAGAGATGTTTTTAAGGTATTTTTCTCAAATTTTTTATAATAATTTAGCTCTTTAGAGGTTTCATTTTTGTGTTGAAATTCTCTATATTTTGTTTTTTTATATTTATTTGATTTTTTCTCTATTTTAAAAAATGAATTTATAATAGTTATTTTAAAGGCCTTGTCCGCTTATTCTAACATATGTCTTATCTGTGGGTCTGTTTCTTTTGTGACAGGCAGCGAGAATGAGAGACTAAACACTTTGATCTCATCAGTAGTTGAGCTGGGTTGGAGCTGGATTACCTCTTTAGATAGTTTCAGTTCACCCTGGTTTCAGATGGCTTTGTGAATGAGTGAATCCTATTTTATGTATATTACAGGTGCAGCCCTCTCTCAGAACCCTGGGACCTAAACCCAGTGAAGAGTGCAGAGATATTTATTTGCTTTTTAGACCCACTCCCAGCCTTCAGTGTTGCCGCTGCCTTCACATACTCATAAAAAGACATATGGGGGGCCGGCCCAGTGGCACACTGGATAGTGCGCCGCTTAGGAGGCGCGGCAGCGCTGCCGCCCGAGGGTTCGGATCCCACATACAGACCGGCTCCCGCTCACTGGCTGAGCGAGGCGTGGGAGCAACACCGAGGTTTGCAATCCCGTTGCCGGTCCCTGGTCCGGTACGGGGGCAACACTGAGGGTTGCAATCCGTTGCCGGACACGGAAAAAAAAAAAAAAAAAAAAAAAAAAAAAAAAAAAAAAAAAAAAGACATATGGGGAGAATCAGGAAGAGAATGAGGAGAATTATCTCTGCATTTAGGTTTCTTAAACGTTGCTATCTGAACATTCCTGTCTGTGAACCAGCTAAGCAGCCCTTAAAAGCTATGTTGGTTTCCCTTTAATCCAGCAGAGGCCTTCTACCCTGGAAAGCTTGATTCTCTGCTGCTCAACTACCATTCAACAAGTGTCCCTAGCAGCTGTGATCCCTTCTCATTTAGGAAGGGCTTGTCCTCTGCAATTTAGTTCTGTTAGATCTCTTTGCATCCTCAGCTCTCTTGATTTCTTTTTAATACTTTGTTTTTTTGATTGTATAGTATTTTTTTTCTAGGTAAGCAGAACCAGGGGGCTGTTACAATAGTATATCTCCTAATCCAAAACTAGCTTTGTGTCCTGCATTTAGGATTTATCTGATTTTTTTTCTCATGGTGCCATTGAACTATTTCTTCAATCTCATTTATTTCTTGTAAACTGAAATTTGGATATAAAGGGTTGATTCAGGTTAGATATTTTTGCAAAAATATCTTTTAGGTAAAGCTCTGTACTTCACATTGCATCGTATTAGTAGATTCTTATTGTGAGATTGTTCCACTATTAGAGATGCTAAATTTTGTCATTTGGTTAAGTAGGAGACCTATTAGATCCTTCCATTGTAAACTCATGTTTTCCCTTTACAATTAACAAGTAATGTGGATCAATCCTGTCTCTCAGCAGTCTTTCGTCTCACAGTTTAACTTCCATTTATTAAATAATATTTCATTTGGAATAGCAAAATAATGATTTTCAAAATTGTATCATTTCTTGGCATTTATTATCTAGCATCTTTTTGTAAATAAGAGCTTTCCTTTATGAACTGGGAATGGTTACATATTCTCCAAAAAGACTAGGTAAAAATATATATGCCATTCTTTCTGTTCAATTACCAATTTTCACAATAAGTAATTGGTGTAAAGGTCAGTTACACTCATGACAAGTGAGTTTGTTTTTTGGTTTTTTAAAAATTTTTGGAATATCACTGTAACCTCTTGGATTTTTATTTATTCCATTTTCTCATCGTCATTTTGGGGGGCAAGGGGATTCAAATAA